GGCATAGCTTCTATGGGTATTTTAATACACACACAAGCCACCACAGTATGATAACTGACAGAGGAATGGTGGAAGCAGGGAGAATAAAGGAAGAGTCTTGGGAAATGAGTTTGGAAAATGTGGGGACAAGATTGTGAAGGATTTTAAGTGTTCTGTTAAACTTGCCTGCTGATACCTGTTTTTAAATGATTTCATGTCTAATTGTACTTACTGTTGTGTGTTTTTTACTTTTCTTTTAGGATTAAGCATGAAAACATCGTTGCCCTGGAAGATATTTATGAAAGCCCAAATCACTTATACTTGGTCATGCAGCTGTAAGTAGACTGTTTCATTGATGCATACATTCTAGGGGTTGCAAATTCAAAAGCCTAGATGGGTTAGTCAGTAATATAGATGAATGCAGTGGGCCAGGTAAGACTATAAGAGAGGTGAGAAGGAGCCCATTATACGGGCCTTATGTGAGCCAGTTTGAAGTTGTTGGGCTAGATTGAAAATGCAGAGCTCTGCTGTGGAGTCTGATGCTATTAGTATTGTCGTTGTTAAGTGCCGTGGAGTCGATTCCGACCCATAGCAACCCTGTATAGGCATCTATATTCAGGTTATCTGTATGGCTTTGTAATGTGTAAGGCCCAAACGTTGCTTCCTGCAAGCACTTCCGTGGGCCCACTGGGAAGTACACTCTGCTCTTGTCTCTGGGAGAAACTCCCACTTTGTCTTCATTTCTAGGGATGCTGGGGAGGGAGGCAGATGGCAGCGGAGAGTGGTGCTTTCCTGTCTCCTTTTCCTCGGGCAGATAAAGGCACATGTGAGTGATTTGGGAATTCAGGCCAGACATATGAAAATATCATTGGAGTCAGACCATGACAATTAGGTAAATACTGTATTCCAGTAACTCTGGAGCTCACCACAGGAGTGAAGAGATAAGAACACTGAATGTATGGCCCTGAATGATCTTATAAATTTTGGCAGATAAAAGGTTCCCCACCCCTAATGGAGGGTATTTGGTAATTGTGCTTATTTAGCATTTGAGGAACTTCCAAACTTTTCAAAGTTACTTTGCCCTTTAAAAATCTCTACAGCAACCTATGAGAATTCTGATTTCTTTGCATTCTTTTCAACATTTGTTACTGTCTGTCTTTTTTAGTATTATTATTATCACCATCCTAGGAGTTATAAAGGAGCCCTGGTGGATCCGTAGGATAAGCACTAGACTGCTGCCCTCAACGCTGGCAGTTCAAACTCATCTGACGCTCATTGGGAAAAGATGAGGCTTTCTGCTCCCGTAAAGATTCACAGCCTCAAAACCCTATGTGGGGTCACTATGAGTCAGAACTGACTTGATGGCAGTCAGTTTTTGGAGTTTGAAAAATTAATGAAGTTGAGCATCTTTTCTTGTGCATGTGATCACTTGCCTATCTTTGGAGAAATATTATTCACATCATTAGCCCATTTTATATTGGGTCACCTATCATTTTACTGTTGAGTTGTGAGAGTTGATTTTTTAAATATCTTCAAGACAAGTCCCTTAGAAGACATTATCATTTGCAAAAATTTTCTTCCATTCTGTCAGTTAACTTTTTTGATGGTATTGATTGAATCACAGAAGTTTTTTTGTTTTGTTTTTAATCTGTTTTGTCTATTTTATTTTTTTCACTTGTGTTTTTGGTGTAGCTAAGAAATTATTCCTGGTGGAGGCCTGGTGTGGCGCTGTAGGATAAGCACCAGACCATTAGATCAGTTTGAATTGCAAGGTTGGTAATTCAAACTCGACAGCCACTCCTCAGAAACCGTATACGATGATTATATATGACTGTGAGTCAGAACCAACTCGACAGCACGTAACAATAACAACAAGAAATGGTTGTCTAATTCTAACTATTATGACTCCACTTCTATGTATGTCTATCCTTTTATCAATTCCGTAACAGTTTCTTTACTCTAGCATTACTACTAGTCTTTTAATATCAAGTAGTGTATGTTTTCCAACTTTGTTATTCTTTCCTTAAAATCACTTTGGCTATACTAGGTTGAAGAACCCCTGGTGGTACAATGGTTAAAGTACTTGGTGCTAACTGAAAGGTCTATGACTTTGAACACACTTGTTGCTCCACAGGAGAAAGATGTCGCTGTCTCCGTCCATAAACATTTCAGCCTTAGAAATCCTAGAGAGCAGTTCTGCTTTGAATCAAAAGTGATTCAACAACAGGCTTGGGTTGGATTTTATTCTAGGTTGTCTGCCTTATCTTTTGTTTTGTTTTTTTTTCACTAAATCTTGTGGGAGTTTTGGGGGATTGATTATATTTAATCTATCAATTTAGAAACTATTGACAAATTCATAAACTTGAATCTTTCAATCAATAAGCATGGTCTAGTTCTTCATTTATTTAGGTATTCTTACATTTCTCTTAGCAGTATTTTATAGTTTTTAGTGTATACGTCTTATACATCTTTTGTTCAGTTATTCTTAATTATTTTATTTTTTATTCTACTGTAAATAGATTTTAATTTTCATTTCGTTTTTCCAGTTGCTTCCTACTACTGGAGGAAGTACAGTAGATTTTTCTACTGCACTAATATAATTTATTAATTCTACTAGTTGTTTTGTGGATTTCTTATATTTTTCTTTATAATCAATCATGCAGTCTGCAATTTCTATTAATTCTAGTTGTTCCCCAAAGAACTAATACTATAACTAATTAGTATAACTAATACTCCCTATTTGAAATATTATAGTATAAGTAACAGCCCCCATTTGCCATTTGAAATATTATAGCATAGTTCACCCTGCTCCCCTCTTTCCCCCCTACCTCACCCTATGGAAAAATAATTAAAAAAAACTTCTTACAGAAAAACCTTGAAGGCCAGAATGACCCAAGGACACCTGAACAAACCAGGATAAAACTTAGCCCATCCATACAACCAAGATAAGGGTTTATTGGTGGGTTTACTCCCACTTACAGGATAAGGGTCTGCTGGAATTTTCATCCCCGGGTGACAAGACAAGTGTTCTAACCGCTCTGTGTTTCTTGTATAAAACCCTGTTCCCTTCCTCACTTTGGGTTCAGGGCTTGAGCTGATACTCTGTAAGTTTTCCAGGTTGAGTTCTTCAGAAAGAAGAACTTTCTTCTTCACGCTGCTGCCACACATCTATTTGGCAAAACTTGATAGTTTGGTTCTAAACATTAAATTTAAGCACTGGACTGCAAACCACAAGGTCCACAGTTTGAGTGGACCACTCTGCAGAGAGAAAGATGCAGCTTTCTGTTCCCATGAAAATTTAAAGCCTCAGAAACCCTATACAGGGCCACTATGAGTTAGAACTGACTCAATGGCACTTAATAACAACAGCAACAACATCATAGTTAAATTTGTTTAAAACATTTTACAAGTGAGATGTTTTAAAAATTCAAATTAATCTCTCTCTTACATCTGAATTACTGTGGTTTTTAAAAAGCAATGGCAGAACAAAGTAAAAACAAGTTGTTATTGTTAGGTGCCATCAAGTCACTTTCAACTCACAGTGCCCCCCACGTGACAGAGTAAAAACTGATCATAAGGTTTTGTAGGCTGTGATTTTTACAGGAGCAGCTTCATGACCTCCCAGAAAATCTTTGATGGGTAAACATGTAATGCTGCTGGGAAAGTATTTAGTTTGTGAGTTCGTGGGGATTCTTGATTTTGTCCTCAGGTTTTGGTTTGACAAACCTCAGTAGTTTTTGTTTCTGAGCTCTATAGTTTTTCAATCTGGGACAGTCCTTGGTTTCTAAACAGTTGGGGAGTGTCTAGAACACAACATTTTGGGCACTGCACTTCACAATATTTGTGCCTGGGAGACTTTTGGTTTCCTAGGAAACATCATCTTCTTTGTAACTGGAGCTCAGATATAATAGATGATGTTCATGCCCTGTAATTTTATTACTTATATAATTGCTTATAAAAGAGGCAAAGTATTGTCGCTTAGTTTTCCTTGTGGTGCACAGAGCCTGGATTGCTTATAGATGTCTGTATCTAAATTTTACTTGGGTATTTGAACAAATATTATCTTTTTATCAGATTTTTTTTTTTTTTAAACCATTCTTCTTTAGCTAGTGAGAGGTGAGAATGTCATTTAGGCAGATATGTTGTAGATGAAAGGTTAAATGTGTTTGCCATTTATTTCTCATTTGACTTTGCTCATGGAGTATCCATGCATAAATTGGTACATGAAAAAAGACACTCCCTCAACTCTTCTAATTTCCCATCTAACAACATGAGAAAGTAAAATAAATAAGCTTCAGGCTATTAAAATTCAGAGGATGCATAGAAATCAGAAATGCATTTTTTTTTTATGAGATTCTGTTCCCTATTGAATTATACCATGTTTTCAATGAGTCTCATGTGGATAATTCACAAGTTAATATATCATCAGCCTTTACCCCTCCGGTGGACTTCATGTGAACTGTAGGTTTGTATGTGGAATTGTCTGTACACTAGCTCCACTTGGCTGTATAAACAGTAACTTATCAAAAAAAAAAGCTATCTTATCCGATCCAAAGTAATTTCTTAATGTCTATTTCATCTCAGCAAATGGCAGCCCCATTTTTTTTTTTTTTTGATTGCTCAGCCGAATTCTTTTTTTATTTAAGGTTTTTATTATGGATTGAATAAAAGTGTACAGGACAGATAATCGGTTTTACATTCAACAAATCATGCACTCTGCCCCAACACAACGATTACAATCCCCTCCATGTACCATCAACCACCAGTGTTTTTCTCCATTCACTTTAGATTTTTTTTTTTTT